AACTAAAATATATAAAGGGGAAAACCTAACGGGTGTTTTAGAAATTAACGGGATAAAAATCTGAGAATGGTCTAAAAAAAAGACTTGAAATTCCGGACTTCTTATAGAGTGCATGGCTCCTTATCAATTTGTGACTTATTACATCAAAAAAAAAATGTTAGTTGAACTTAATCTAAGTCAACTAGTCACCCCAAGAAAAATCTATTGACATAATTATTTTTAATTATTGAATTGAAAGTGAGTTCTATCTAAAATTTAAAACTCGTAACTGATCGATTAAATCCCTAATTAAATATCTAATTTAGGCACCTATTTTTTACTTTGTTCCTTGCAACGTTGCTATGAAATAATAGGGGGGCATCTCACTTCATAAAGTTCTCAATTCTGGACCTTGAATTGCGTGAACTTGAGAAACCTAGTTGAATGTATATTAAAGTAAACATGGGGCGCTGATTCTTAATGAATCAAAAAAAAAACAGGGGGCGCTGCTTGTTTCTTCAAAGGTTATTTTCATTGGGTGGTCGAGTTCGAAACTTAACAATTCTTTTGAGTCAGATCATAGTAAATTTATCTCTCATGAAATTTTTAATTTTGATATGAATAATTTATTTTTAATTAGACTGAAGAGAAAATTAATCGATATATACATAAAATAGATCGAACACCTCTAACTGCAATACAAAAAAAAAGAGAGAGAGAGATTATTTTCATTTATTTTTTGTCCATTTTTCGGTTGGCTTAATGTTACCATCTATTGCAACATTTTTGTCCATTAATGTTACCATTTTTCAGGTTACCACTTATTGCAATTGATAAAATAAAAGCTTTGAGGGCGGCTCTTTCCTCGGATTGCAAACACGTGTCTGCTATTGTGGCTGCTTCGGTTTGGAAATCAGGGAATGCAAGAAACATGGGGGTTTCTAATTGGAGTAATGCTACACGTACTTATAAAAAAAATTGATTCAATTAATGATATGATTTTTTAAGTTTATTTAACATTTTTTTGTAATATAATTGTAAGAAAAAAAATTGACATAATTTACTGATTTTAATAATATAATAGAGATATAATCTAATAATATTAGCGATTATAACTGTTGTATTTCTTTATTTGAACTTTATCATTTGACACATCATCAATTTCACAAAAAATAATATTACATAGATTTAATAATTACAACCATTAATTTAACTGAAATTTTTTTTAATTTTTTTATTGGAACAGGCCATTCTCGAAGATGTAAAGGCTTATTATTGAGTATTTTCTCCTATATGGAATAAGGAAACCCATGATGGTGGCAGCGGATGTAGTAGGCTCGATCGGCGGCTCAAGGCCCATGTTCGGCCAATTGCTTACCATGGTGCTCTAGCATTTCCTTATGGGTATGCCAATTGCCCAACAGAAACAATCATTGGACAGTTTTTCATCAATTGGCCCACATGAGTGGTCTATTGAAGGGTTGAAACGCCCTAAAATCTACTTTAAAAGATGTTATTATCTAAAAAAAATTAATTATGAGAATGACTATAATAATTATTAAATAATAAATATTCATCAATCTAACAAAGAATAAATATTAAAGTCAATAAAATATTAAAACTTCTCCAACTTACAATTCAAAACCAAATAACATCTAGCAACAGAATAATAAAGCTAGCTAAAACATTGAACCTAAAATAAAACAATTATATTCCTCTAAAACATGGTACACATCTTGATTCTCCAACAGCTCGTAATCAACTTGCTCATCCACATTTACATCATCTTCTATGCCAAAATCTATAAGTGTGTTGTAGAGAGTGAGCAAAAGCCTGTAAAAAAATCCCTCTCAAATCCCAATAAGGCTTTAAAACAATAAAAAGAAGGCAAGTCTCTTTTTGAAAATAACATATATAAATTTTTGAGAGTAAAGTCATGACAGTTGTAATGATTTCAAGTGTACGGAATACAATAAATCAATGATAGGAATAACTATGCAAGAAATTAAAGCAATCAATAAATAACTCAACAGCATCATCACATATTTTTATGTATGTTGGTTGCTTCTTAAAAATTTACACAAAGATTCTATCTCGTCCATCCACCACAAACCAAACAATCTCAATAATTCCTCGCATGACACATCACAAACAACTTTAGGAATGACATATTCCATCTCTAGCCTCAAACCTACTTGAACAATACTGGTTGCTCTCATAAACAACAATCCACAAGAAGTGTTAGACAACCATCTCACCCCTCTGGGATAGACTAACCTCTAACACTTTACGGAAGCTCTCGAGACAATTCAAGTCCATCATATCCAAACCACACAAGAGATGAAATTACAACTTTCTTAACAACCACAATCTTAACCAATCACAATTTTCATTCACAATTTACGTATCATAATTGCACAATTCTCATTATACTACAGTAATAAAAGAATTAAAATATGCAAGAGATCATATCAAGACAACCTTCATAATTTCGATATCAAAATTTTAGAGTTTTGCCAAAAAACATAATTTCTTGGAGCAAAAACAAGTATTATATGAAAACATGATTTAATCAATAATAGAAATTTAGAAATCAAAAATTCATATATTTTTCACAATCAAACATGTATTTAGCAAAACTAGGATTTTGAAAATCCAAGAACAAATATTTTTTGATTCTAAACATGTATTTCATTCAAAACTATGTTTCAATGATAAAGAAACCAAGAATTCATATGTATATGTTATATATCAATCAAGAAGATTGAAAACATACATTTATAATACCCTGAGTCTCAATGAAAGAACTCAAAAAGAATCCCCTACCTTGATTCTGTAGTTTGTAATGCAAACCCTATTGTGTTTTATCCATCTTCTAGGCAAAAATCCCTTCAAGTAGTGTTCTCTCTCCTTTCTTCTCACCTTTAGGGTTTTCTACGATGAAAAATTGATGAAACTAAACATACGAGTCGTTTCCTAGGTATTTATAATATAAAAGTTGGACAAAACACCCAAAACAAGTCAGGGACATGCGCCCCTCTACTCGGTGCTTCTAGACGCGTGTCTTTTACTGTCTGGATGCGTGTCTTTTCACCCAAATTTCTGCCAAATGCATTCGGATACGTATCTATTTTTGTCCGACCTCGTGTGACAGTATATCTCCAACTTTCAGCTTGATTTTGACCTATTTAGAAGCCGATTCAGGAAACTTTCATAGACACTTTTTGTAGCCCTTGAAGTCTAGTTTCTACTGTCAAAAAATGAACTCAATCGAAGTTATGAGTACAAAGTTATGACTAAAATACTAAGGTAGTGTCAAATTTCAAACTACCCGAATTCTTTCTAAATGCATTTTAACTCTGAGATACTTCTGAACTTTTAGTAAACTCCATATTACCTTTTCTAAAGTTTCTCAACCTTCTGGATTTAATGGTAGCCTTAAGGTCAAAACATTTATAGACTTACAGAATCACCATTCACATGCTTAAATGCCTCTGAAACCCAAACTTCATGATCAATTTATCTCCTAATTAGTTATTTATACTCTTACAACCTATATGGTTAATTCTTATGTCATTACATATATAAGAAATATAAAATAATTATGTCACTATATTAAGATGAGCATGTGGGGGTTTACAGTCCACCCCCCTTAAAAAAAGTTTTGTCCTCAAAACTTACCTTGTGTAGAGAATAAGTGAGGGTACTTCTCTCGCATCTCCAACTCTAGTTCCTAGGTAGCTTCCTCTACCCCATAACGTTGCCACAAAACTTTCACTAGTTGGATTACCTTATTACGAAACACTTTCTCCTTGGTATCGAGATTCTTCATCGGTTGTTCCTCATAGGTTACGCCATCTTGAATTTCAATTCCTTCAAAGTCCATGACATGCGTTGTATTAGATTTACAATTTCTTAACATAGATACATGGAGCACACCGTATACTCCTGGCAACTGAGCTGGTAACCTGAGTTGATACGCCACTTTACCCACAGTTTTGATCACTTCAAATGGTCCAGTGTACCTCGGGGCTAACTTCCCCTTCTTGCCAAATCTGAACACTCCCTTCTTGGGTGACACTTTAAGAAACACATAGTCGCCATCTTGGAATTCTAATGATCCTCTTCTTCTATTTGCATAGCTTTTTTGTCTACTCTGAGCCGTCCATAGTCTTTCCCTAATTAGTTGAATTTTTTCAGTAGTCTCCTGAACAATTTCTGATCCAAACAAGCCACTCTCTCCTGCTTCTAACCAACAAGTCGGGGACATAAATGGTCTTTCATACAATGTCTTATAAGGAGCCATTCCGATACTTGCCTGATATGTGTTGTTATAGGCGAATTTCACCAATGGGAGATGTTTACTCCAACTACCCTTGAGGTCAAGAACACATGCCCTCAATATATCTTCCACAATTTGGATCACTCTCTCCGATTGTCCATCCGTCTGAGGATGAAAGGCCGTACTTAAATGCAACTCTATTCTCAATGCCTTATGTAATCTCTTCCAAAATTTAGCCACAAAGCGACTATCTCAATCAAACACAATCGACAACGGTACCCTATGTAATCTCACTATTTCTCGGATGTATAATTGGCTCAAGGTTACCAAATTATTTATGGTCTTAACAGGTATAAAGTGGGCAATCTTTGTCAATCTATCAACCACCACCCAAATCGTATAATGTCCATTGATGTTTTTAGGTAACCTTGACACAAAATTCATGCTAATGTGGTCCTACTTCCACTTAGGAATCGGTAAGGATTGTAATGATCCTCCCAGTCTATACCTGTTGACACACTACATACTTTGCAATGTACTTAGTCACGTCTTGTTTCATTCCTTTCCACCAATATTGACTCCTCATGTCTCTATACATCTTAGTACTATCCGGATGTATTGATAATTTTGAACGATGGCTCTCCTCCAATACTTTTTTATCTTACTTAGTCATTGTTGGTACACATAGTCTTCGTGTCTTAAAGACCAGAAATTCAGGTCAGATGCAAAAAAGGGGTGCAAAATAAGAACTTTCTAGGGGGTCACCCATACTAGTACTATCTTGCCCAAGAATGCTTAAATACGGAGTTTTAATAGGATCCGGTGCATTAGTGCTGGTATGTTTGCACTTGACATCTCCTCCGCTTTTTATTCTTATAAGCTACCTCATTTTCATTGCGTTTCTTTTCTCCCTGACATAGTAGCATGATTAAACATACAAGAACTATCACAAACTGTCCACCGAATGGGCACCGCACAAAATATAGCGTCTTAAAGACAGAAAATTTGGGTAAAATACAAAAAAAGGGTGCAACACGAGGGCTTCACAAGGGGTCACCCATCCTAGTTCTACTCTCGCCCAAGCACACTTAACTGTGGAGCTCTGATGGAATCCTATGCATTAGTGCTGGTATGATCGCACCTAATATCTCATCTGCTTTTTATTCTTATATGCCACCTCATTTTCGTTCCGTTCCTTTTCTCCTCGACACATAGTAGCGTGATTAAACGTACAAGAACTATAAAAAATCATCCAACGAATGAGCGCCACATGAAATATAATGTCTTAAGGACCAAAAATTTGGGTCAGATGCAAAAAAGGGGTGCAACACAAGGACTTCCTAGGGGGTCACCAATTCTAGTACTACTTTCGCTCAAGCACACTTAACTGCAGAGTTTTGATGGGATCCGGTGCATTAGTGCTGGTATGTTTGCACCCAACATATCCTCCATTTTTTATTCTCATAATCTACCTCTTTTCTGTTCCGTTCCTTTTCTCTCCGACACACAATAGCGCAATTAAATGGGTATTCAATCCACATTCTTTGCCGAAGATTTAAATATTTCTATTTGAATATATACTTGAGACTCTTGTGATTAGAAACACTTGAAACTTTTTTTTATATAGATAACACCTCCACAACTTAAGAGCAAAAATCACTGTAGCAAGCTCCAAATCGTGAATGAGATAGTTCTGCTTATGAATCTTTAGTTGTTTTGAGCCATAAGAAACTACGTTACCTCTCTACGGTAGCATATATCCCAAGCCTCGTAAATAAGCATTTGTGTAAACATCATATCCTTCACCATTGTTAGGAATAATAAGAACATGTGTCGTTGTCAACCTTTCCTTCAGCATTAGGAAGGCTAGGTCACACTCTAGAGTCCACAAGAATTGTTTCCCCATCTTCATAAGGCGGGTCATTGGCATAGCCAGCTTTGAGAACCCTTCCACGAGCCTCCTATAATAGCCTGCTAAGCCCAGAAAACTACATATTTCCGTTACATTCGTCGATAGTTTCCACTTCATCACTACTTCAATCTTTGCAGGGTCAACAACAACACCCTATTTCGACACAATATGGCCAAAGAATTTCACTTCCTTCATTCAGAACTCACATTTACTCATCTTAACATACAAATTATGCTCTCTCAATGTCTGTAGCATGGTAACACTACTCAAATATGGTATTCATGTTCCCCTTGTGTCTATGAATAGATCAATATGTCATCAATGNCAATGTCTGTAGCATGGTAACACTACTCAAATATGGTATTCATGTTCCCCTTGTGTCCATGAATAGATCAATATGTCATCAATGAACACAATAACAAACTGATCTAGATACAATCAAAATACTCTATGCATCAAAGTCATAAATGCTGGGGGAGCATTAGTCAGTCCAAACGACATTACAGTATATTCAAAATGATCATACCTTCTATGAAAAGCTATCTTAGGAATATCCTCCTCCTTGATCCTTCTTGATCCTCAGTTGATAGTACCCTATGCGAAGATCAATCTTGAAGTAATACTTAAAACCCTCAACTAATCGAATAAATCATCACTCCAAGGTAATGGATATTTATTCTTCATTATTACTTGCTTCAACCTCTGGTAATCTGTGCATAACCAAAATTTTCATCATGCTTCTTCACAAAGAGGATCGGGATTCCCCAAGGTGAAGTGCTTAAGAAATCAAACTCATAGTAACTGATCTAATTACTTCCTTAGCTCATTTAACTCTAAAGGTGCCATCCAATAAGGTGCAATAGAAATGGATTCTGTTCCAAGATACAAGTCGATGGTGAACTCAATCTCTTTTCAAGGTGCTAAGCTAGATAGCTCATCTGGAAATACATCTAAAAAGGTCGACACCACAGGCATCAACTCTTACTGGGAGTTAACTTGTTTTTTTCCCATTAAGCTCACTAGAAAGCTTAGACTACTTCCTGCCTTAGCCTGTAAGAATAGTTTACCCGTCATGGAAAAAGGGTAGAAAACATTCCTCTAATTTGTGAAGCTGAATACTACTCCTTCCGGTGACTGGAACACTACCTTTTTTCGAAAGCAGTCCATCACTGCATGGTATGCAGACAACAAGTCCATTCCAAAGATCACATCATACTTCTGCATGTCCAATACTACCAAATCTACCCTCAACTCTTGTTTCCCCATCCAAAGTATGCAACCCCGACACACCCTAAGGGTTTCCAATTGTTCACCAAAGGGTAGGACAACATTCAACTCCTTGTCTAAGTTTTCACATTTCAATCCCAGTGTTTTAACATATGACAAGCGTATAAATGAGTGAGTAGCACCAAGATCAAATAATATGCTTGCCCAAGAATTATACAATAAAATGATACCTTCAACCACAGTATTGACAAGATCATCCTCTGTTTCATCATTGCAAATACTCGGCCTTGAGTGGTACCATCTGGTATAATTGCACTAGGGTTCTTCTGCTATGACTGCCTTTAAGGTGGGGGCTAGTTCACATTTTGTTGTCCTACTGCCTAGTTGGTCTTTGTTGGAAACGATGGATAGTTATTTATGAAGTGCCCAAAACCTCCACATGTGAAACAATAACGTAGGTTAGTGACTGTTCTACCCCAATTCCTCGCACTATTGATTCCTTTGCCTCGAAGCTTGATTAGGTCGATGATACGGAGTTGCCCTCTATGTGACTCCACTGCTGCTACCTACTCTCAAGGGACCTTCTCTAGTAAAAGTTTGTCTTCGTCTAGCCTCCTCTATGTCTCTCTTCACTAAGTTTGCCCTTCCACTATATCCTTGTATTCTCGGATCCTGAGTGCAACCAACTTCTCATGGATGGAAGAATTCAAACCTTGTTCAAACCATTTAGCCCTCTTTGCATACGTAGCCACATAATTAGTCACGTATCAAGACAACTCATCAAATTTTACTTTATATTCAGTCACTGTCATACTGCCCTACTTCAAAGCCAAGAAGTCTCTACTCATTCTATCCTTCAAAGACTTAGGGACGTATTTATCTTGGAAGATTTGATCAAAAATCTCCCAAATCACGGTATCCACTACGTACATTCTCTTCATCAAATCCTATCAGTGATCTGCTTTTCCTTCTAACAAATAGGTCGCTAGCCCCACTTGGAGATCACCAGCAATCCTGATGCTATCATATATTTTCTTCACCCTTTTAATCCACTTATCCGCCTCCATTGGATTAGAGTTTCCTTGAAAAGTGGTTGGGCACTATCGTAAGAATTCTTGCAACACCATCATCTTGCGATTTTCATTGACATCTCCTTGTCCCACCACCAGTGGTTGTGCCGCCCCATTCTGGTTTTATACCAGAGTGGTCAACTCCTATAGGCATTGGTAAATATCATTCATAGCATCTGGAGGAGGTGGTGGTGGGTACGTAAAACCTCCAAGTCCTTGTCCTCATCCCCATCTACCATTCATTCTGCACAACAAGTTACAATTTAGTTTCCTTAACTTACGAAAAACCCATACTCACAGTAGAGTCCAAAGCCTAAAGTCTGCTATCTGACTCAATTTTATAATTTAATTCTCTCTAATCTTAACTCTCTAGTGGTAATCCATAACCCATAGTTTTCATATAAGATCTAAAGCTTAGACTCTAATATCAAATTAGTAATGCCCCAAAATCCACCCTGGAAGGCATTATTATCTAAGAAAATCCAATAACGAGGGCAACTACAATAACCATTAAATAATAAATCATTCATCCATTTAATAGATAATAAATTCTAAATCCAATAAAATATTGTAACTTCTCCAACTTACAATTCAAAATCAAATAATATCTAAAGCAGAATAATAAAACTAGCTAAAACGTTGTTTCATAAAAATCTCTCAAATACTAAATCAAAAATAAAACAACTCTATTCCTCTAAGACAGGGTCCACATCTTGATTCTCTAACAACTCGTAATCAAACTGCTCATTCGTATTGACATCCTCTTCTATGCCAAAATCTGTAAGTGTATTTTAGAGGGTGAGCAAAGGCCCGTAGGAAATCCTTCTTAAATTATATTAAAGTTTTAAAACAGTAAAAAAAAAAAAAGAAAGTCTCTTTTGAAAAATAGCATTTATAAATTTTTGAGAGTAAAGCCATTAAAGTTGTAATGATCTCAAGTGCACGAAATACAATAAATCAATGATAGGAATAACCATGCAAGAAATTAAAACAATCAATAAATAACTCCATAGCATCATTTCATATTTTCATGAATGTTAGTTGCTTCTCAGGAATCTACATAATGATTCTACCTGTAACGCCTCAAAATCCCCCTTTGANAATACAATAAATCAATGATAGGAATAACCATGCAAGAAATTAAAACAATCAATAAATCCATAGCATCATTTCATATTCTCATGAATGTTAGTTGCTTCTCAGGAATCTACATAATGATTCTACCTGTAACGCCTCAAAATCCCCCTTTGGACGTCTTTACTATCTAAAATCATTCACATCATGAGAGCAACTAATATGATCCATAAGTAAAGAAGATTTTATTCATCATTCATAATATTTACAACATCATCCAAAAGAATATGCCCAACCATGACCTTTGTATCCAAAAAAATATGCCCAACTATGACAATTACATCCCAAAAAATTAACTATTAACTTGCAACGGAATAACAAAAATATGAGACTTCACATTGTTTCAAAATGAATCTCTTAGTCGAGAACATAAAAAGAACAATTCTAGACATCCCCCTCCGGATTCACATGTCCATCAACTTGAGCTTCCCAAATCACCTGCTCGTCAACTCGGGGCTCTTTCTCTAAACCGAAACTTGAAAATAAATATTATTTGTAGGGGG